AATACTAATTTGATTCCTTTTGGTTGATTCCAAATTGGTATTGAAATCTTCCAGTCTTTTCTCTATTTTATCTATTCTTCTATTTTGTTTCCTCTTATCTGTCCTGTAGTATTGACTCTGTATGTCTAGTAAGTTTTGAACGATATATGGAAATACAGCACCACATGTTTATCTTTTGTGACTATCTTGTTTGAACACATATGATACATGTATAACATACATAATATATTGTCATCATGTATGAATGCATCATAGAGGTTCAACTTGATGGCATCTTTCACCAGGAGGGGTCCTCTTTTTTCTAAGAAGATATACTCACTTAGCCCAGCTGAGTTGGGGCTGGGCTGCAGTTTGGATAAGACTTATTCTGCCTCTCCACTGCTTCTTTTCCTATGGGTGGTTCTCCTGGGCATTCAGTTGAGAATGTGGCAAGTCTTTGTCTCCTTTACCTTGAAAAACTATGGAAGATTTGCATCTGCCATTCACAGGTTTTCAGCTTAGCTCTTCAAACTCCTGACCCAGCTTCAGAATTCAGCCAATTCCTTGGGAAGAGTCTGGTCATGTGTTTGGAACCCCTTCAGTTCCCAGTTTTGTTACTCTAGTCACTTACGAATGCCAAAATCTATGTTAATTTCTCTGCTCTTGAGTGACCTTCTGCAAGAGGTCAAGCTTGGATTCTCAGCCTCTAGCTTAGGCCAGAATGGTAAGAGTGTAGTTCCCCAAGGTGAGGTGAAAAGAGGCTGTACTTCCCCAGTGTCATTTCACCATTTGTTTAACACTTTCTTCTGCTTGTTTTGTTTTTATGCTCCCTCATTTTCCTGCTAAGTTTCTATAAGACTTTTCTTTGCAAATAGAGTACATATCTTTTAGTAGCAAGTTCTGTTTCTATTATTCCTTTTCTGTCAACCATAGAGTGTAACACAAGGAAGATTCTATTGTGATTATTTAAAAAATGGCAGACAGTGATAACAAAGTTTTCTGGGGAAGTTGGTTGCCTGGTTGACATCCAAGGAATCTCATATTATGGCATTTATCTTGGTGAATTCCTCATCATCTGGGAACTTATCCTTCTTATATTTGCAGTCCCAGAAGCTTGAAATCAGTATATACATGGATTCACACCACACAAGCTTGCAGAGGACAGATGAGTTAAACAGAAAGTGGATTTATTATTTTATGTTGATGTGTTAGTTGGTGTTCTCCAGAAAAACAGAACCAATAGTATATCTACATCTACATCTATATCTGTTTCTCTCTCATTAGCTTCTCATTTTTCTATACCCTCTTATAATTGCTTTACTTGAATAATCAATTTTTCTTTTATGTGTATCGTTGCCATTAATAGGGTTATAACAAGTACCTTGTTGCACTACCCACTTACGATATTTCCATATTTTCTGTTATTTCTTAAGTTGAGTTTATAGTTTACCTATATTTTATATGTATATATACATATAATTACACATTTTTTTAAATTTTAGGTGTCTTTATAGGGAAACTTCAGTATTGCTTCTGTATATCCTCAACAGGTAAGTAGTAGACACCAAATAATAAACTTTTGGCCACTCTTGAGCCTAGAATTCTGAACCCTTTTTGAACAACTTAATAGTCCTCCACTTTGTCATTTTTAATTGTTAGCTTTACTCTTTCTTTTGTAAATGTCTGCAGGACTGATCCCTTAATAAGCAGGTACTTGTTTGATGTTTTAGGAACCAGTGGCATTGGAAGATGTCAGAGACATGGCACATGGATGTGATCTTCAAAAACTGTTACAGCTTCATCTCATTGGGTGAGTACAGTTTCTCCAATCCCAAAATATGTAGGATCGTGAGATTTACAGGTGTTCAGCTGAGACTGAGCTTTGAGTTTAGGGACCAGAGACAAGATATTTCTGTACTGAACAGATGATAGTCCTTTTCTTTAAAACTTTATAAATAGCTAGTCTTACTTTGTTATCTTAGAAGTATCAACATTTCTCTATCGCAGAATTCCTGAATACTACTTAGGACATAATTCTAGGATCCATGGATGTTATCTTCCAACTAAGAAGAACCATATAAATAGATAACAAAGGAAAAATGAAGAAATGTCACAAAATAACAGCCAGGAAAGAATCAGATAACGAAAACAACCAAGAAGACAGGAATCCTTGTAAATAAGAGTCCATTTATCCATTATGGTGGTGCTAGTAACAATAGTGGTACTAGGAGATAGCTTTTGAAATGTTGGTTAGGGTCCTCTGTGCAGAGCCCCTCATCTGTATTTTAAAAACCTGCATTCATCTAGTAGAAGCAACAGCAACTTCATTTCTATATAACTTTATCTATCTTCTCACATATCTCTTGATCTCAGAGGAAGATTGGCCCTCTTCCGTTGTTAGTCTTTCCATTCTGTACTTCAGATTCCATTATTTTTTACTTATTTTAGGGTCTGATTTAATGACTGTTTCATGATTCAGTCTCTCCACTTCACCAGCTCCTTTCCTTCTACTTTCAGACATTAAAAAGGTTTTCTTGCTTTTAAAATAATATGTTGCCTAAAAATTTTTTATCTGCCTTTCAAAATTATTCTGTCATTACCAAATGTTTCAAACTTGTAGCTAATATCCTCAATTCCTGTTCTCTTTTAATCTTTGGAGTTAGATTCTTGTCTTCTGCTAAAATTATTTTGAGGAGATTTTTTTTTTTTTTTTTTAATTTATTTATTATTATTATACTTTAAGTTGTAGGGTACATGTGCATAACGTGCAGGTTTGTTACATATGTATACTTGCGCCATGTTGCCGTGCTGCACCCATCAACTCGTCATTTACATCAGGTATAACTCCCAATGCAGTCCCTCCCCCCTCCCCCCTCCCCATGATAGGCCCCGGTGTGTGATGTTCCCCTTCCTGAGTCCAAGTGATCTCATTGTTCAGTTCCCACCTATGAGTGAGAACATGCGGTGTTTGGTTTTCTGTTCTTGTGATAGTTTGCTAAGAATGATGGTTGAATTCTTTCTTGATAGCAACCTATTCTTAGTCCTGTGTTCAGACTTTCTGCCGTGTTTGATATTTTGTTTTACCTTGTGTGACATCACCAGATTCTTTTCCATTCTCATCTTTTTCCAAATGCTTTTTTGTTAACTTCACTTGCTCCCTAACATAAACGCATGTGCCTTTATGGTTTATTTTCTACTTGTTTATTTTTTATCTCAAAAAGTTAGTGCATTCTGACATCCTCAAATAGTCCTTCTATGTTAACTTTCTTATATATATTTTTTCAACTTAAGTGTTTCACTTACATTCTATCCCCATATATTCCCGTGCTTAAAGTTTATCTCCATTAGAATGTCGTACTTCACTTTCAATCACTTTAACCTCAATATGGTGAAAGTAAAATCACCAGCTTTCCCTAGGTTGCCTCTCTTTCCTTCTTTTTCTATCGTTAGTACCACTATTCTTCCAGCCTTCTTGGCTAGAAACCATTGTATCTTTATGAATCTTGTTTTGTAAAAATTCCCTATAATCTATTTCAGCATTTTTTCTTTCTTCTTTTTTATGTATTATCTACACTTACACCAAATTCTTACTAGTATTATCCCAATCCAGAATCATATTATTCATATTATGCCTTCTTGCTAAGTTTCACCATTGTTCTTTTATTCATTTTAGATAGAATTAACAAGCTTTTAATCTAAAACATCACATCTAAGATATATTTATCCTGTTAATGTTCTGACAGAAAACTTCAGTTTTCCTGTCTCCTGCTAGATGACATTGAATTTCTCTGTTTAAAGTGTGAGAGTTTTTTATTATCTGATCCCATTTCACTTTTCTGGATTTTTTCCTCTGGTTTGCAAAAACATACATACATTTGAATTAGTTCCATTGTCTTTTATTCACAACATTTATTTTACTGAATCTTTACCTTTGATTTTATTATGCACTTTGTCTCAATGCTTCCATTTCTTTGATCACACCTATTGCGATAGCATACAAAATACATCTGGTCTTCGTTTCCAATTCTTGTCACAGAGCTTTGAAAGCCCTCCAAATTTCCTAAGTGATAGGAATATATTTTGTTGTTCATAGTACACCTTTTTTAAAGAAAAGGTGTATTATGATGAGTTTATGTTGATGAGGTGAAATAGGGTAGGGCCCCTAGATAGCCTCAATAGTGGGTCTGATCACTAAAAAGACCAAGCAACTAGAGGGTTAGAACTTTCAATTCCACCCACCAACCTCTGGGAAGAAAGATGTGGGGATGGAGATTAAGCTCTATACAAACTCTTAAACAGTGATATTTGATGAGCTTCTAGATTGGTCAACACATCAAGGTGCTGGAAGTGTAGCATGCCCAGAGATGATGCAGAAGCTCTTTACCCCTTTCCCTTCTGCCCACCTTGCACTGTGCATCTCTTCCTGAATGGCTTTTTCTGAACTGTATCCTTTATAATAAACTGGTAAATGTAAGTAAAGTGTTTTCCCGAGTTCTGTGAGCCATTCTAGCAAATTATTGAACCAGAGGAGGAGGGGTTATAGGAACCCTCAACTTGTAGCCAGTCGGTCAGAAGTATGGGAGGACCAGCTTGTGATTGTCATCTGAAGTGGAGGCAGTCTTGTGGGACTGAGCCCTTTAACTCGAGGGATATGATGCTTACTCCAGGTAGATAGTGTTGGAATTAGAGTAAATTGTAGGATATCTAGAGTTGGTGTCCAGAGAGTTGGAGAACTGGTCAGAATGGAAAAAATCCCACACATTTGCACATAGAAGTGTTCTGTGTTAAGTATGAGTTATAGAGAGGAAAAGGCTGTGGCTATACAATTTGTCAGAGTTGTTGTGAGTAGAGCAACAGTGTTTTTCAGACATATATATCGATCCATTTCACCTTTAAACTTCCCTATTAATCAGTACTTATATTGAAAAATTTTACATTTTATCATAGCACTATTTTATTTTTATTTTCTGTAACTGATGAGTGAGCCTTGTTTTCTGCCTTTGTATTTCAGAGGAAAGAGATAATATCTTCTACTTAATCCTGGATACTATATCCAAAGTTAGAGCATCCACTCCAAAGCCGAGAATTTCTGAAAAACAAAACAATGTCATCATATGATGTTAGAATTTTTTTTCAAATGATGGTTCCTAATACTTCACGTTAGAAGAACTCGAATTTGATAACCAGTTTGAGAAACACCAGTATAACCAGATTACAGGAAAAAGCAAGTCAAAAGGAAGATCATGAATATAACAACTTTGAGGAAACATTAATCAAAGACCAAAGCTTTTTAAACAACTGAGAGTTTTTATAAGAAAAAGACCTCATGCAGTAGTCCCCAGTTATTCATGCAGTATACATTCCAAGACCCCCAGAGAATGCCTGAAATCACTGATGTACCAAACCCTAACCAGGTTCTTAGTATGAGCTACTGAATGACGAATGGGTGGGTAGTATATACAGTGCAGATACACTGGACAAAGAAATGATTCACAGCTCAGGCAGGACAGAGCAGATCACACAAGATTTCATCACAGTACTCAGAAAACCACACCATTTAAAAGTTACGAATTGTTTATTTCTGGAATTTTCCATATAATATTTTTGACCACAATTGCCCGTGGAGAACTGAAACCATGGAAAGTGGAACTGTGGATAAGGCAGGACTACTGTAACTATGACATCAATGGTAGGAACCTGAAGCATAATTCTGCTGTAGTGGATTTTTTCAAAAGGCAACTCATGAATGAAAATAATTTATTAGATATAAGAAAGGATGCATTTGTATCTCAAACTTTACTTATTTACTTATTCTGGAAATAAATGAAAAGCCAACACTTATTACATACCCACAAAAATGAAAATAAATAAATATAAAGCCATAGTTCAGTACTGATGGAATCTGAGAAAATTTATATGAGAGCGAACCCATACCTCTGTACTGAATGTGGGAAAGGCTACACTTGTGTTGCATCCCTGACCCAGCATCAGAAAACACATATTGGAGAGAAACCTTATGAATGTAAAATATGTGATAAGTCCTTTACCCGGAACACTAATCTTATTCAACATCAAAGAATACATACTGGAGAGAAACCTTATGAATGCAATGAATGTGGGAAAGCTTTTAGTCAGAGCACTAATCTTATTCAGCATCAAAGAGTCCATACTGGGGAGAAACCTTATGAGTGTAATGAATGTGAAAAAGCCTTTAGTCATAGGTCATCCCTTAGAAATCATGAGAGAATCCATACTGGAGAAAAACCCTATCCTTGTAATGAATGTGGGAAAGCTTTCAGCCATATCTCTGCCCTTACTCAACATCATAGAATTCATACTGGAAAGAAACCATATGAATGTACTGAATGTGGAAAAACCTTCAGCCGCAGCACACACCTAATTGAACATCAGGGAATTCATTCTGAGGAAAAATCCTACCAGTGTAAGGAATGTCAGAAGGTTTTTTGCCACAGTACATCACTAATCCGACATCAGAGAATCCACACAGGAGAGAAACCATATGAATGTAATGAATGTGGGAAAGCTTTCAGCCACACCCCAGCCTTCATTCAACATCAAAGAATTCATACTGGAGAAAAACCCTATGAGTGTAATGCATGTGGAAAGGCCTTCAATCGGAGTGCACATCTTACTGAACACCAGAGAACTCATACTGGAGAGAAGCCCTATGTTTGTAAAGAATGTAGAAAAACCTTCAGTCGAAGGACACACCTTACTGAACATATAAAAATTCATTCTGGCATGAAACCCTATCAATGTAATGAATGTCAGAAACCGTTTTGCTATAGAACCTCACTAATTCGACATCAGAGGATGCATACAGGAGAGAAACCCTACCAATGTAATGAATGTGGGAAATCCTTCAGCTTAAGCTCAACTCTGACTAAACATAAGCGAATACATACAAGGGAGAGACCTTATCAATGTAATAAGTGTGGTGATGTCTTTTGTCATAGTACATCCTTAATTCGACATCAGAGAACTCATTTCAGAAAGGAAACCTTAGCCGAGTAATGGGTGTGGGAAAGCCTGCAGTCAGTTGTAGGTTATTGTTTACACTTGAGCATTCACAGTATAGGAAACTAAGATTGTTATGTGAGGAAAATCTTCAGGCAAAACACTCATTTACTTATTATGCTACTTGTACTGAGAAGAAAGACTATTCTTATAATCTAAAAAATGTGTTATTGAAAGAGAAAGTTATAATGGAAGTGTTCATCCAAAACTAAGGTTTGTTTTTTTAAAGACATATTTAGAAAGTTATTTTCAGCGATAATTTATTAAAATGTATATATTTGCTTATAAAAAAAGCCTTTTGAAGTACACAGAAATCTTAGTAGGATAATGAAAATTGTTCACTGTATACATAATCCCTTTTTATTAAGTCCTATGTTATATTTCAGTGTTCAAGAAACACTTTTGTAGAGCGTTTGAAAATAAAATTGACAGATTTCATTAATAGCCATAGACAAATAATGTTTTCTCCGACAAAGATACTATGCATTATTTTCTAAGATTTATGTAATAGTTTTAATGGAATATATATATATGTGTGTGTATATATATATATATAGTTACAAAGAAAATTGCAACAAATTCTCAGAGGGAAATATTCAGACACTCCCTAATTATTTTTTCAGTACAAACTAAAAGTAGCACCCCAACATGATTTAGAAATATAAAATAAGTTTCTAAGTAATTTTGGAGTTAAAGAATAAATCTGTACAGAAAAAAATATGTGATTATTAGAAGACAATAAAGCTAGAACAAAATTATGCATTGAATTCAGAAAGGAAAAAGAATAGTATAAACCCAAATAAAATAAAATAAATGCTTTAATAAAGATAAAAGCACACATCAATGAAATAGTTACAAAAGGTAGATTTCATAAGGCAGTAGACAAACTTCTAGCAAGTAGGAATGATGGGAAAAGGACAAAAAAATCCAAGAGTAAGAAAATGATTATAAATATATATGGAAAGAAACTTAAATACTCGAAGTCAATCGTTAAGAAATCTAGCAGTTTCATAAAGTCAGTACTAAGGTTTATTTTAGAACTTCTAGACTATTTCAAAAATAGAAATCTACATTAATAAAAACCTATCTTAATACATGCTGTAAAAAATCATTTAATAAAATTCTATATACACTGGTGACTTTTTTTAAAAATTAGAAAGAAAATTCCTTATATTGATAATGAACATTTATTAGTGTGTGTTCTCCAGAGACAGAAGAGAGAAGGAAGAGAAGGAATGGAGAGAGAGAGAGAGGAAAGACGGGAGGAGAGAGAGAGAGAAAAAGGAAGGAAGGAAAGGAGAGAGAGGGAAAGAAGGAAGGAGGAGAGAAAAAGGAAGGAAGGAAGGAGATGTGCATGGACATTAATGGATGATAAGAAGCCCAAGATCTGCAGTCAGCAAGCTGGAGACTCAGGAGAGCCAATGGTAAAGTTCTAGGCTGAGTTTGAAGGCCTGAGTCTTCTGAAGGCCAGGAAAACTGAAGGTATAAGTTCCGGTCTGAGTCTGCAGGCAGGCAGAAAACCAGTGTCCCAGCTTGAAGACAGGCAGGGAGAGAAGTCTTACTAAGCCTTTTATTCTATTTGGGCCTACAATGCTTGGATGAGGTCTACAGCCACATTGAATAGGGAAATCTGCTTTAGTTAGTCTACTGGTTCAAATGTTAACCTCTTTGAAATACGTTCAAAGACTCCTAGAAACAATGTTTATTCAAATACCTGAGCACCACATATTTGGACTGTCAAGTTGACACATAAAATTAACCATCATGGGCTATTCACTAGAAACCTACAAGAAAAACCATGAATAACCCAAAGCACTCTTACCAGAGACAGCAATGAGATAAATGATGTTTGATGCCACCATTATTAGTCAATATTATGCTAAAGATTCCAGGTAATCCAATTAGAGAAAAAAATAAGATAGCAATAATTTAAAGGAAGAGAAAAACTGTTAGGATTTGAAATACATTCAGTATTAGAAAATCCAATTAGTAGAGCTACTAAAATGATACATGTATAAAACAGTATACTAATAAAAAAAGTAGGAGAAATAGAAAAGGTAGTAGAAAGAAGTGACATTTACAATTTTGACAAGCTAAAAATACGAAGAATTTTAAAAATCTGAGATGTGTTTATAGAATAAACCTTTTCTAAAAAATATAGAATAATAAATGAAAAGAACTGATTGGGAAAAATAATGTAAAAATGACAGTTTGTATTTCATTTAACTTTGATTTGCAAATTTAATAGAATCAATATAAATGGAATTTTAAAAAATGATATCTATATTAAGATACAATTCACAAGAAACAGCTGCAGACAGAGGCTCCCACTGAGAAGAATGAAAACAGTGAGTGAATCCTGCACTGGTGACTGAGGTATCCAGGTTCTCCTATTGGGACTGACTAGGCAATTGGCATGACTCACGGAGAGTGAGGAAAAGCAGGGTGGTGCAACAGTCCACCTGGGAGCCACGCAAGGTAAAGGGAGCTCCCACCTGCAGCCAAGGGAGGCAGTGAGTGAGTGTGCTACCCTGCCCAGGAAACCACACTTTTTCCATGGATCTGTGCAACCCACAGATCAGGAGATCCCCTTCATGAGCCCACACCACAAGGGCCTTGGTGTGTAGCCATGAGGCTGAAGAGAGCCTACCATGGAGCTGTGCAGATTCTCAGCAGCCACTAGGCTGGAGACTGCCTAAGGCTGCTGAGTTCCCAGGGGAAGGAGTGGCCACCATCACTGTGGCTTCCTGCTGCCTAAGATGACTGAGCTCCTAGTGGGAGGAGTGGCAGCCATCACTGCAGCTCCAGTCTGCCATTTTTCCCGTGCCAGTGCTGGGGAGACTGGGCGGTTTGGACCCAGGAGAAATTCCCCACAGCACAGCATAGCAGCTCTAACAGGTTATGACCAGACTGTCTCTTTAGGCCAGACTCTGATCAATCCTCCTCACTGGGTGGGGCCTCCCTGCAGGAACTTCAGCAATTCCTGCCAGGGGTTTAGAAACAGAACTCTGATTTCTCTGAGACTGAGCCCCTGCGGGGAGGGGTGGTTGTCATCTCCATGGATCAACAGACTTAGTCTTTTCCCCCTGCTGGCTCTGAGGAATCCAGGCAGTATGGACGAGTGGGATTCCACCCAGCACAGTACACCCCCTCTGCGAAGGGGCAGCTAGAGTGATTTGTTAGGTGGGTTCTGGATCCCAAGCCTCCTGACTGGGGGGATCTCCCCAACAGAGGTCACCAGACACTGTATACAGGAGCATTCCTCCTGGTCTTAGGTTGGTGCCCGTCTGAGACAGAAATCCCAGAGGAAGGAGCAGGCAGCAATCTTTGCCGTTTTCCAGCCTCCACTGGTGACACCTCCAAGTATGGGAGGGACCCCCAGCAAACTGCAGCAGCCCTATGGAAGAGGAGCCTGACTGTTAGAAGAAAAACAAACAGCAACAAGAGCATCAACAAAAAAGTTCCACAAAAAACTTATCCAAAGGTCTGCAGCCTCAAAGATCAAAGCTAGATAAACTCATGAAATGAGAAAGAATCAAAAAAACCTGAAAACTCAAAAAGCCAGAGTGCCTCTTCTCCTCCAAATGATTGCAACGCCTCTCCAGCAAGGACACAGAACTGGGCAGAGGCTGAGATGGATGAATTGACAGAAGTAGGCTTCAGAATGTGGGTAATAACAAACATTGCTGAGCTAAAGGAGCATGTTCTAACCCAATGGAAAGAAGCTAAGAACTGTGATAAAACATTACAGAGATTGTTAACGAGAAAAACCAGTTTAGAGAGGAACATAAGTGACCCAATGGATCGGTAAAACACAACACAAGAACCTCACAATGAAGCCACAAGTATCAATAACCAAATAGACTGGAGAAAAGAATTTCAGAGCTTGAAGCCTATCTTGCTGAAATAAGATGGGCAGAGTGGATCAGGAGAATGAATACACATACACACACACACACCCCCCACATACACACATACCCTGTCACTCTCCAAAAGCTGAGCCAGGACCTTGTGCCCTCTGCAGTGCCATCTGCTCTCCTGTCTGGTTTATCCTTTCCTCTCTCTTGGTTGGGCATGGTGGCCCCTTCGCTTTCTTTTCATGGTCTCATTTCCTTTGTGGCACCTGCAGAGATTTCTTAACTGGCCTCTTTGGCCTGCTGCCAAGGCTTGGTGAGAGTGGGGTGCAGAGAGAGGGACAGAAAAGAGTGAATGGGATGCTGACCTCACCATCTTAGTTTGGTGAAATAATTAGACCAGGCTTCAAGTTGCACCAGAAGCCAACTATGGCCCCACTTACAAGTGTTCTGGCTCCACCTAGCAGCCACCAACCTTCCACTCCAGCTTCCCAGAGCCCTGCCTTTTACTGCAACTGCTGATTTGCCTGGCAGTTTTTGCCTCTCATTTTTGCATGCATAGAACCTGGGGCCAGCAAGAGCTCTGCTAGTCTGACAGGGGGCTGAAGGGAGTCAGCACTCAGATGCCAGGACATTTCCATTAAAATGGAAGAAAATTAAGAAATGAATTAAATTCTCAAAAAACTAGTAAAAACATTAATATAAAAACAAAAGAAACAAAATAATAAAGATAAAAGCAGGTAATGGTGATGTATAAAACAAAAAAGCAGTAGAACTAATATATAAGTAAAAATCCTCATTTATTTACTTGTAATTTCTTTCCCTCCTCTTTATTCCTCCATCTCTTTCTTTTGAACAAGGTGACACATTCAGCTGGAGAGGGAGCGCTTCACCCTCTTCAGTCAGCTATTTGTGTTTTTGCTCACTTTCACCTTGGGATTCTCCTTTTTTTTTTTTGAGATGGAGTCTCCCTCTGTCGCTCAGGCTGAAGTGTAGTGGCGCGACCTTGGTTCACTGCAACCTCCGCCTCCCAAGTTCAAGTGATTCTCCTGCCTCAGCCTCCTGAGTAGCTGGGACTACAGGTGTGCACCCACCACACCTAGCTATTTTTTTGTTTGTTTTTGTATTTTTAGTAGAGATGGGGTTTCACCATGTTGGTCAGGCTGGTCTCAAACTCCTGACCTCAAATAATGCGCCCACCTTGGCCTCCTAAAGTGCTGGAATTTCAGGCATAAGCCACTGCACGTGGCCCCAGGACTTTCCTTTCATGTTATCCTAGGAGTTCCCTTTACTTCCCTCTTGTGTATAATCTCCTATTTCTTGGATCCCAGATCTTTCTATTTCTTAGTTTCTTCCCTCATTTCATGAATTTCTTCCTCCAGCAACTTCCCAAGAAAGGATACATGGAAGTAAAATTTTCAGCTTCTCATTTGTAAAACTGTTCCACTCTTACACGTGATGGATAGTTTGGCTGGATATAAAACTCTAGGTTAAATACAGATGTTGGTAGGGTATTAAAAAAAGAAAAACAACATAAAAAAGAACTCTAGGTTAAAAATCATTTTCCTCAGAAATTCGAAGGCA